AATTAGTTGGAAAATACTATAAAAATATGTTTAAAGAACGTGGTCCTTTATTCCATAAACCTAACATTTTCTATCAAGAGGAATACTATTGATGCCAGTCTCTCAAAGAGCAATGAGAATTCAAGTAACAGAGAAACTCGATTTCTAAAGTAAATATAATTATTTTATTTTTACCAACGTACTATAGAAGTTTCACAGCTACAAAGTTTTTCACATCCAGAGTTTGACTTATATATTTTGCACCACATTAATCACTTGAAAATTTTTGTTAAGTTTGTGTGTTTTGAGATGTTTCTGAATATGTTCACTTAATCAAACCTGTTAATGAGGAGTCCTGTGAAACAGTAGCTAAACAGCAGTACATGTTCTTAATAAGACACACAGCAAGTTATGTTATCCAATTCCATTGAGAGATAAATTTTTAGAGCATTGCAACTCAAAGATCATTATTAAAAAGAAATCGATATGTTTAAATAACCTGAACTACTAACAGGAGTCATTTGGAATGCCTGACTGGCCTAGCCACAGCACAGAAAACACTCTCAATTTCAAAACATTAAATGTAGTGGGGTGATGTTGCTTTTCTTTTGCTTTTAAGCAAAGAAGTAAACTGACTCTCTTCACAGGGCTATGGAAAATAACCAAGAGCGATCACACTGCTTAGGCTTCAATTATTTGAGCAAGAAATCAATCAAAAAAAACTTGGAAGAACAGAAATCAACCCAGGGTTCCCAAGCATTGAACCGGAGCTGGAAACAAGGCTCAGGAATATGTGCCCTGCCCTGAAGAAGCTCATCCTCCTCCTGACAGCCCTCAGCCCCCTGCCCGTGTCCCCGCTCTCCTCAGGCATCTCCTCAACACCCAACACAGCCACGCCACCCTGTCACAACAACTCCGCGGCTCCAGGCGGCACCGAGCCGTCGGTACGGACAGGGGTGACGTGCGGAACGCCGGCTCTTCGCCTCCAAACCCCCGGCCCGCGGTAATCCCGGCGGCTCGGGGTGGGGAAGAGCCAGGAGACCCTCAGCCCCTCCCCAGGGACGCAGCTCCAGGGCCTCCATGAGGGGAAGGCGCCGGCGGAGCTTGTGGCTCTCCACCAGCGCCCGCCCCGGCCCGGGGCTACGGCGGGGGCCGCTCGCCGCCCTTGCCCCGCCCGGGTCCCGCTCCCCGCCGCGCCCCGACCCTCATTCCCGGCGGGCCGAGCCCCTCCCAGCACGGGGCCCGTACCCAGCGCTAATCCCGGCCCCGCCTGCACCCTGCTACGGTGCGGCCCCGCTGCCGCTCCCCGCGCCCGCCCGGCTGCCGCTGCGGAGGGCCGCGCGTCCCCAGGCAGCCCGGTACCTGCTGGCTAAGGGGGATGAGCGCCGCCATCTTCCTCCCGCTGGGTCGCGCCGCGGCCGGGGCGGAGCGAGGGGCGGGAGGCGGCGGCACGGCCGGGCCGGGCCGGGCCGGGCCGGGCCGGGCCGGGCGGGCCCGAGGAGGCGGTGGCGGCGGTTGAGGAGGTGCCCGAGAGCCAGCGGCGAGCGGCCGCCGCTTTATCGAGCCCCGGCAGGCGCTCCTCGGCGGCAGTTCCCGCTGATCGCGGCGCTTCCCAGAGTCACTGAATTGTTTAAGAACGGAAGAGACCTCTGAGATCATTGAGTCCAACCTTTGACCGATCACCACCTTGTCAACCACATCACAGCACCGAGTGCCACGTTCTGTCGCTCCTTAAACACCTCCAGGAATGCGGACTTCACCACCACCTCCCTGGGCAGTCACATAATCCCAAAACAAGCGAAGTTTGAATGGACCGCAGCCGGCCACCAGGTCCCACGTCCCTTGCTCCAGCAGGGCAGAACACACGGCATTGTGTCCGCACAGTTCTGGAATATCTCCAGTGAGGGATTGCAACCTGTTCCAGTGCTCAGTCACCGGACAGTAAAGAAGTTCTTCCTCATGTTCAGGTGGAACTTCTTGTGGCATCAGTTTCTGCCTGCTGCCTCTTGCCTTGTGCCAGTGCTGGGCCCCAGGGAGCAGAGCTTGGTCCCTGCTCTGACCCCTCCATGCAGACGCTGATGGGCAGGGCTGAGCTCCTCTCTCAGCGTCTCCTCTCAAGGCTCAACACACCCGGCTCCCTCAGATTTTCCTTGGCAGAGAGACGCTCCAGTCCTTGATCAACTTTGTAACTCTAAACCCTGTCAAAGCAGCCTTCATCCAGTGTCCTTCATCCCCAGTGAAGCTTCTTCTGGTCTTGGATCAAATTTTCGGCATCAAATACACCAAAGTTAACAAGCCCCTGACTGCAGAGTATGATTCCTGAGCAGCAGCCTGACCGAGGCTGGATCACTGTGATCACATAAAAGTTAAATCAACAGGAACCCATTTAGGGAAAAAAAAAAAAGATGCAGGGCAACTGTCATATTTCAGAGCTTTAAAAGTTCTTCACCCCACACTGTCACTTAATTGTTTTACAGCTCTTGGAACAAGCAGAAGCAGAAAAATTTGACCTCAGACAACAGATTGCAAAGTGGCACAGCTGATGTCGGGTCTTGCAGAGATTCCCTCACTTCCTTTCTCCTCACCACACAAAATCCTCTCAGCCAGTGTCCAGAGGTAAATGCCCTTGGGCTCTGAAGTCTGCCTTCATTTTTCTCTAAATTTGTAGCATTAGTTCTTGGGGGAGGAAGGAAGTGAAGAAAAGCAGAAGGACTTGAGAAAGGGTTGAATGAAATGACTGAAAATGTTGCAAGATTGAGGTACAAGGCAGGTCAGACAAAAAATCAGGCACATCATTCATTGCTTCCAATTGATTTCCCTCATTGCATTAGGAAAAAAAAATTAAGACAGCATGCAGACACTTTGTATGTCTATTTCAGAACTGGAAAAGGGAAAAAACCTGTCTGAAACAAAAATTTTAAACTTAATTTCAACTTAAAGATCAGATTTGTGCATGGACAGACTGCTGTCAGTCCTACACCACAACAGAGCTGGAATGGTCCAGCAGGAGATAAGGTGCATTGACCCAGTAAGCTCAGAAATTCTGCAATAAAAGTGCAATATTCCCTCAATAAAAATGAGCATTAATTTTACGTTTGATATTAAAACATAGAACAGTAACAAAATCTCGTGTTTTATCACAGGTGGTTTCAATATTATATTGAAATATATATAATAGCAGTGTTAAGATACAGTTAACAAATAACCTCTTTTTCTATCGAGAATTTAACTATGACACAGTATTTTTAATAAAAATAACTGCAACTAGTCACAAAATCTAATGTTGCATCGAATAAGCCTGTATTAAAACCCCATTGGAGCAGATTTCCACAAGCTGTTAACAAAACACCACAACCCTTACGTGATATAAGTGGGAAAAAATGTGACCTTCTTTCAAATGACAATTAAAACTCTTCCGTTTCAATATCATTCCCCACTACTCTGTCCCTTCCAGAGTCTTCTTTGCTCTCTATTTTTTTTTTCTTAAACTATTGCTCCAAGTATTTTTCCTCCACAGTCCTTTCTCTCTCCTGCTATTCCTCAGCCTGCTTTATATTAATTTCCTTTTCAGGACCATGGGATTCCAATTTCATTTTTATGCACCAATAGTTTCTCAATCAGATTAGACAAGGAATTTTTAAAATGTGGAAATAAAGAATGAAATCACCCATGGGAATTTAATGTTCCATCTCCAAAGCCTTTTGCATAAACCTCAGCATCTATTATTGAGAAATTGTAAAAAAAATTGTGCCAGCTTTCACTTTGGAAGGAAAACAGAAAAAAAAAAAAAAACAGGAAGTCTGTTTTCTTAAGAGTCCTCAGACTGCCCATCTCATTTAGTTTCCATTCCCCCTCGGATGAACTACATGTTCAGAATAGAGTCAGGCAAAGAAAATGGCTCAAGGTGTTCCCTTAGCTAGGGGTAGGAAATTATTTATAAACTGTATAGAGGAGTTTTGACCACACTACAATACCATTCTGAATTATTATTATTATTCTTCATCCCAAAATTCAGGTCCTCAGCACTAGTTCCACCACGGGTTCAGGTTCATCCCAGTCCTTTAAAAGACATAGGAAAAATAAGAAAGCAAAAGTGAATAGTGCACAGTTCAACTACATTAAAAAGAAATTAAATAATCTACTAATACAGAATAAGGAGAGCAAATTACCTCAGGTTTGATGTCATTTAGATCATAACTTCGGATTCAATCATCCCAATCCGTGGGCTTCACTGATCATTAATTTTCCTCAGTGGTAAACAATTTAAATCATCTTGTGGGCTGCCAGATGCATTTTGTTATCAATTTTTATTTCATGAGACTGATCTGGCAATATTATCAAAATATATAATCGGAGTATATAGCTGTGTGTATCTGTCAGCCAGGGTTTTAGAGATAGCAAGGCAAAGTTTTTAAGAATTCTTAAACTCAAGTCTTACGAACTGCCTTACAGCAGGATGATAACACTAGAAAATACTAGAAAACTAACTCAGAAAAACAAAAAAAAAATAGGCAAAATAAAAATTATCCATGGCATAAGCTCAAAAACTATATAATTACATTACAACTATATAATGATGTTGGATACCTAATGTCAAATTTCACTGTGACACGCAAAGTACAAGTTTCACCATGTCCCTGGAAATGACTCACAAGTACAAAGGGCAGCCTACAATATGTTGTTTCAGTGAGGGGTCTTAACTCAAATCCTGCTGAACAACTGGATTAATTCCCAACAATAATTAGCAAATCGAGGGTTTGTACAAATCCGCATTTATTGACCCCGGCGCACGCTGGGGCTTGCACTCGGGGCGGCAGTAAACCTGCTCGCGATTGGCTGGCGGCGCTGAAGCGCTCGCTCGGAGCCAATGAACGGGCGGGATATTGGCGAGTCGCTGACTCCGGGACACGGCGGCGCGCCGCCCGCTCCAGCCCGCCCGGAGAAGCCTCAGCCGCCTCGGGGCGGGCGGAACCGACGGCGTGTTCTCCCACCCTGGCCTGGCCCGCCCCATCCCATCCGGCCCGGCCCGGCCCGGATGGCCGCGATCTGTCGGGTACCCGCGGGCCGAGGTCAGGTGAGGCACAGGCGCCCTATCTCAGTCCGTACCTAGGCAGCCTCGGCCCGGGCCGTCCTGTGTGGGGAGGGATCTGTAAAACCCCCTTCCTACAGCTCCCTGACAGAAGTGAGCGTAGCCAGGTAGTGACCAGCTCTGTTCCCAGGGAACCAGCGACAGGACGAGAGGACAGTCCTAAGATGTGCCAGGGGAGGTTTAGGTTGGACATCAGAAAGAATTTCTTCACAGAAAGGGTGGTCAGACATTGGAAGGGACTGCCCGTGGAGTCACCATCCCTGTGGAGTCACATCCCTGGAGATGTTTAAGGAAAGACTGGATGTGGCACTCAGTGCTTTGGTCTGGTTGGCGCCGTGGGGATCAGTGACAGGTTGGACTCGATGATGTCAGGTCAGTGACTCTGTGATTCTTGGCAGGGCCACAGCCACGTACCCCGCAGGATCGGCACCCGTGGTGACATCACGGTGATGGACACAGAGCTGGAAAAGGCTGGAAGAGCTGCGTCCCACCAGGGCAGGTTCCTGAAGGTGTGCGATGGAAACGCTCGTGGGAGCCCGCGGGGCCAGGTGCCAGGGAGCAGCCGAGTAACCCAGAGCACTCTGGGCAGAGCCTCCCACACGCGGTTAAATTCAGTCCTGAATAAAGTGGCACAACTAGAAAGCAAATTAATGTGTCAAAACAAGCACCTGGAATTGCAGAACACTGACTCGGGCCTGAAGCCTTTGGCTGAGGAATGCACCTCATCTTCCTCTGGGCATGAAGGTGGTGCCAGGACCAAGAAGTACTGGAAGAATTACCCTACCACCAGTGGGAATGGGACCCGCAGGGATGCCTGTTCTGAGGAAGAAGAAAGCATCCAAAGCCCTAAAAGGAATGCTACAGTTAAACAACAGCTTGATCTGGATAGTGATGAAGAGGAAATGAGAGAATTGATGGAGAGCTCTTTGGAGTTTTCCAGTGGAAATGGGAGTCAGAAGGTTCTGGTAAGTGATGCTCAGTGGGGAGAAAGGTAACTACAAAATTGCTGGACTATGTATTTTTATGAATTCTTTTATGTAATTGTTTTAATTGATTGATCGTTTTTTATTTAGATAACACCAACAACTAAATTTTAAACTTGCATTTGTGTCTTGCTCGTGATAGGATTCAGGTTCCCACCTTAACATTTTAAAATTACTCTATTTTACCCACAATGATTTATTCTCCCTTTAACAAGCTACACGTAACAATGAAGTAACACAAATCTCTTTTTCATGTTCTTCAAAAAGAGCAAGACTCCAGTTCCATCAGGAAGGGCTCCTCCACCTCATAAGGAAGTTTCACCAGCAGAGTTATCTAAAGCATCTTCTTTTCACAGCAAAGACTCAGAGAAAAGTGTGTTTGGTAGAGTTAATTCACCAGCACTTTCACCCATCAGCAGAAACCTGTCAGGACACACCATGAGATCTCAGTTGCTGTCGTCTTCCATGAAAGGCAACGCTGTAAAGATTGCTCTGCCTAAAACAGGCTACACCAAGCAAATCCAAGAATCCCTTGAAAGTGACAGGAGTGAAATAAAGTCATTAGATGAATTATTTTCTGAAGGGGATGATGCAGAAGATCCAACCAGCAGCAGCTTGAAATGTAAGTTTCCTAAAATCCTGTCTCAGTAGACTCAGTATGAATTGTACTGATAATCTCCTGATAAATTCTCTTAATAAACATGGGCAAATAGTCACTTTGAAAGGATTCACTGGTGAAATCTTACATAAAGCAAGGCCTGATCAAAGTAATTACCTTGATCTTCTTTCTAGTGTAATAGGTTTGTATTTTTCTTAACTTTAGGCTTAATGAGTTCAGATTAATGACACTGCCCTGAGTGACATTATGTCAAAACAAACAGGTAGTAGTAGTAGAATAGTTTTCATGTATCAGTGACACAATGTCCTAATGGGTCAGAGTGAGAACAGCTGGAAATGAGGAGCAGCAAAAATCTCTTGAACTTCAGGAATGTCAGCAGCTCAAAGGAGAAAATTTTAGGAGTGTCTATGAAGTTAAAATCAGTGACTGGTTGCTATTACTTTTTAGTGCTAATCTAGGAAGGTAGTACTAATTTTTTCCCCCTCACTTTTCTCACTCAAAAGAAAGAGTACTGTAATTTTAATATAAATTCTCATACATAGGTTTCATTTGTTTGCAGGCTTCAGACTGAATGTCATGAGCCTTGATGATTTGGCACCAGACACTACCAGTAAGGCAACAGAATTAAAGCAAAAAGTAAGTAGAAATTCTGCACTAGCAGATATTCCCAGTCTGCCTGTGTTTGGTGGAGTGTAGAGATTCTAAAAGAAATACTTTTACAGGGAAAAGACATCCAGTTTACTCAAGAATCAAACAAATATGTGAAAAAAGATACATTGCTGGTGGAAGAGGACCAGGCTGCTCTTAAAATGACCAGTGCAGTAACTAGTGTGAGTGATTCTTCTGAAGAGGGTGTTGAAAAATGTATCTCTGAAGCTGAAATCTCTGAACATTTAAGTGGAGTTTCCTCAGATTTCCCTCCACACAAACAGGATTCTCTTAATCAGAACGAGACAACTCTTAATTCAGAATATTCTGAAGACTTCGAAGCGTCTCTGTCTACAGCAGACGAGGAATCTGTGGAGGGACATGCTGAGAGCTGCACGTGTTCTGGAGCTCTCCCGTCTCCAGCCTCATCCCTGCTGGTCGCCCGAGGGCAGCACAGCCGGGGCCACCGAGTGGCTGTCACAGAGACCGCGGTGCAGACAGCAGAGCCTCCCTTCACCCCCTGCTGGGCAAAGGGTGAGTTCAGCAGTTACTGAACTCAGTTAGTTACCCTCATCAGGCAAATTTTACACTTTTACATCTGCCCAGTCAGCCTCGATGGACTTCTTCACTTCAGTGCCAGCTTCCCCTCACACTGGTCCTAAATAAAAAATTGCCTCAAGCCCAGCACTTTAATCTGCTGTCTACAGAAAAGACTGGGATTGAATATCATAATAACAAATGTTTTTTGGTTAAAAATACCCCCCACGGGACCTGAGGCTGGATGAGCAAGTGTTAGCAGCAGAACTTTCAGTAGCACAAGTAGTACACTCAAATGAAATTCCATATTCTGACATCTTTACTGTTGTAAATAATAGCATTGTCACGTTACTAAAGTGATTGCTCATCCATCGAGTTCTTTTGCATTGTACTTGTCTCTTGTGAAAGCATTATGGCCCCAGGACAGGATCAGATATGAGCTTTGATATCCTGAGGAGTAGCTCCCTGCCTCCATCTCTTCACTTCAAAGAAAAAGTGTTAAGAGCCACCATTCCTTGCCACACTCGAGGAAAAAGTAGAAACTTGAGTGTCCTTGAAAACAGCAGCATTGAGTACAGAAGTCTTTATTTTTACTCTGCCTAGGGTTAGAAAAGGTGCTTTCTGCAATGGTGTTGTGAGCCTGAGAGTAAAGAAACCGTGGAAGTTGTTTAACTATGTCAACATTTTTGTTGGCTGACAGAATTCTCCTGTTAGGCTGCACAGTGGTTTTAGGTCCCAAGAAACTGCTGAAGAACCAAGCAGTAGCACTAAACTTTCCCCCTCTCCTCACTCAGTAATTCTGCTGCTTTCCTATGCACAGCAAACCCCTCTGTTGGAACCAGCTACTTCGATCCAGTGCCAATTGCCAGTCACCTCATCAGCATGGATGCAGTAGAAGGTACTGAAACCACGTTTATTCTTTTTTTTTAACTATTTTCTGCACCTAAGCCCAACTCGTTCAGCTTTTGGTGCTGGCTGGGCCCCACCCCAATCCATCGTGTCCCTTTCTCGCAGCCCTGAGCACGTACAGCCCCTCGGTTCTGGTTTTACACGCCATGTGCAAGCAGCACGTGATGCTGACCCAGCAGTTTGTTGAGAACCTTCACCGCCTTCACACGTCCCTCGTGGAGTCATTAGAGCATGAGAAGTTCCATTACCATACCCTGGAAGAGGCTAAGGAGGTATTTATGACAAAGCAGAGATTGAGTGTATATTCCTTTCCAAACGTTTGTGGTATTTGCAGCAAACCCAGTTTCTTTGCATATGATTAATTAATAAGTTTAAAAGAAAAAAAAAAAAAAGACTGGAGTCCTGCTGGAGGCCAGTTTTTAAAGATTAAGGTTTCTGTTGTAGCATTTAGCTGTCCTCAAATGAGCAGGGATCATTCAGATGCTTCAACAGAAGGGTCACTTTCTGTTGCTAGTACAGAAATGTGCAGGTATCATGAAGATTAGTTGCTTTCTACTATTTCATAAATAATAAACTATGTAATAAAGACGTTTCTTACCTTTTTTTTTTTTCTTGCAGTACATCAAGAATCACAAATCCCCGCCTCTAACAATTGAGCAAGCTCTTGAAGAAATTCGGAAAGGCCAAGAGAAATAACTGCTTGGACAGTTACTGAGCTTTAAGTGACATTTATATTTACAGCTCTAATGCTGAAACAAGAAACTTTTCCAAGTTGCACAGATAAACCATATTGGAAGGATTCATACAAACTGCTATGTTAGTATAAGTTAGTTAGTACAAGTTGCTAATTATTATATATAATTTACTTTTCTATACCTGAATGTTTTACTCGTGTACACAGTACAGGGATACACAGGAACCTTCAGCCAGACTATGGCAGCAAAAGAGATGTCAAGGTAACACTTCTGTCTAATGGGACCATGGTAACATCACAGTGCACATATTTATTGGGTGAATTGTGAGATCTGAGATCACATCTATGATTGTGGTAGAAGTGAAAGTCTGTGCTACAGCCCCTGAGAAATATGACCACAGCAGGAAATTACTGTACCCTGCCTTTAGTGCTGTTATCTAAGCAGTTTCTATATAATCAGCCTTGTCAGATTACAACAAACCTGAACACACTCAAGAGTGTGTTTGTTAGGATAAATTCAAAACAAGGAAGGATTATAGTCAAGGTGCAGGAATCCATTCACTCTGAAATCTCAGCTGCCTTTTTATTTTAAAAAAATTGTTTATTGGAAGGCAAAACAACAACATTCACAAGTTGGTAACATACAGGTGTTGTATGCTGATTCACAGACAGCTACAGTTCCACAACTACAGTAGATCTAGAACAAACTGATATTCCACCATATTAACTGGATGGTTTTGAGAGGGATTTTGCTCTACAAACAAACAACTGGAAAAGAGAACAGCCACGCACACCTGGGGAATGGAAGTGCAGTATAAGGGCCTAACAGCTATAGCTGGTGGTCTCTGGAAACAGTTACAAAAGGTTTGTTTCTTTTTTTTCATTTAGATTACAGCAAAGTTCCAAGAACAGCTCCTTGATAGAAATGTGTAGAGCAGAGAAAATGGATTCTCTTCTATTGAACTAATTAGCTTTTATTAAAGGGTATGTACAAAAATATAAAAAAAAAGCACAAAGACTGTGTTCCATTTCCATTACAAAGCATTTCCCATCCCTCAGAGTGCTGGAAAAGCTACCAGAGAACTGACCCTTGTGTCCTGCCCCGAGAGGAGGCTGCAGCAGCTGCTGGCTGGGGCCTGGAGGTTGGGTGGAAGGTTCTAAAAGCTTGCACAGTGCTCACAGGTCACCTGCACTGGAACTAGATGCTTCATTCCCCATTTAGACATTAGGATACACTGCTCAGCATCAGTCTGACTTGCTCCCAAGGCAGCACCCCTCCACTTCAAATAGAATTAACCTTTTGAGAGAAATAAACATACATTATGGAACTAGAGAACATACAACCACATCAGATAATGTCTGTATTCCACAGGAATGAATGAGGCACAGTCCTGCACCAGGAACTGCTTGAATGGGGTTTAATTTTGCTATAAAATGGGGAACTAATTAGAAAATTTTGGGAGATAAATGGAGATTTTTAAACTTGCTAGACATGTCGTAGTAACAACTGGGCTTTTTAAAGCACTAATTGACAAGTGTTGAAGTACATGTCATAGCTTTCCATTTTCCACCATAGTTCTAAAATTAATTCATTTGTCACTTCCTCCAGATTTTATTTCAGATTTCTACAAGTTTAATGTTTTACAGAAGATGCAAGACATCTTTCTTCAGAGAGTCTTATTCGAGTGGTGGAGGGTCTTGTGTTTCACGCTTCACTGAAACAACAGGGAAAAGAATTCTTATACATTCCGCAGTTACCTGAACTGGCTGAAATGTTTTGTGGAAAGAGGGTTCTGTTAATAAGGAATTTTTCCTTATGGGCTTTATGTGAACCCACTTGATTGCCACAGATCTAGAGGCAGAAGTGACATTTCATTGAGCATGCCAGCTTTTTCCTTTTAGCATTCAACGTATCACAGACTCTCTGCAAAAATCCATCATTTGGGTTATTTTCTTCACCTCTTATAAATGTCTCCACTTTTTCTGAACCCTTCCTGCACTAAAGAGAATTTATTATCAGTTCTGGCTTTGGCAGAACATGGTACTAAGGTAGAAAACTCTGAATAGGGCAGGGATGAACAGTTAAGTGTGGTCTAATTTGATTCCAACCACAAGGACGTCCCTTGTGTGGCACAGCTCCCTCTCCACTAACTTTGCCAAAGATGCAGGTCCTCAGTATTGCAGCCAGTGGCTTACACAGAACACACTCATTAATTAACATTTCAGAAATTAGAACGTAACACAATGCCTAAAAAAGGAAATCAGAGTACATGTCCACTTACCTGTTTTACTGTATCAGTTACACTAGAAAAAATTAAGAGTTACTGATATTTTGATTTGGGTTTACAAAAATCACTCTCAAGAGGTTTCTAAATTGCTGAGAAACGTTCACTTACATTCATCCCTGGCCTTCATGCGTGCGATAAATGAGTAACTTTTATTTCTTCTGTAGTTTTCATAAGGGTCATCCAATGCAACTCCCACTCCTTTGTACTGATCCCATTTGTCTCGGATATCACCTCCTTTAATTGGATCCTGAATTCCTTGTTCCTTGGCTCCCAATCCACCAGATCCACTCCATCCTGCAGCAAGGACACAACATTGTCATCCTTTCACTGTTACTGCCAGAATCATGAAGACAAACACTGACATTTTGGAAACAACCAAAGACAGCATCAGTTTGATAAAGCAGGATTGTTTCAGGACGATCTGAAACAACGTGTGAACTGTCCCATTTATTTCACAAGCATTAATATGCAGAGCTTCTAGGAGCTGACAGCAGCAGTGTCTCTAAGAAGTGTTTGGAGGATAAGAAGAAAGGCAGCACAAGCCCAATCTGTCTGCTCAGCCCTGCTGACCTGTACTGCAGGGAGATGAAATACCTCGGGTAGTGTCAGTTCTGTCTGATGCCAAACTCACATCCCTGTCTTCTGTACCTTTCCCAGAAAGGCAACTGTCACTGCTCCATGAACTTACATCTCTGAATATTTTTATGCTGATCTTGGAATACCAAGGAATAATTCCTTATGAACATGCATGAATTAATTATATGTAAGACTTAGGTGTCTTAATTTTCTTTCCTGGCTTCTGTAAGATTCCAGAACAGCATCTTACCCATTTTCACTAGCATTTGATGGCCTTTATTTTCCTCTCCAAGTCTCGATTCTGGTATAGGAGGCCCAGAACTGGAGCCCAAACCAGCAGAAGAACTAAGAAAATAACAAGAACAAATTAGGAACCAGTGATACTATTCTGACACAGAGCACAGTCAGTTCTATTCTGTTAAGCATTAACATCCAACACAATCCCATCCACTCTACTAAGCTATTCTTTATTAATGCCATTAGATTATGCAGTTATTGAGGTGCCAGAAACACATCACCTGCTTCTGAGCACAAGGGAAATCAAACACTGTGCTCTTCCCAATGGAGCACCCAGAGAATTACTCTGAAGGTGTACACAGACTTCACAGTTGCGTGCAGTTTTGTTAAAATAAAAAGCCACCACAATAAAGGAATATTCTCTCTACAGTGTCCCTGCAGGCACTGTGTTCCAACAGGCAGGTAAAAGGAGACGAGATGAAACCAAATCTTACGGAGGAGTGGGGCTGCGGGAGCGGGAACGGCGCCGCCTTCCCGGGGAGTACGACTTGGAGCGAGAGCGCGACCGAGAGCGGGAGCGGCTGTGAGAGGAGCGGGAGCGGCTCCGGCTTCTGGAAGGGACAGCACGAGAGTTACCAGAGCAGTTCCCTGCATCAGCCTCCGGGGCTGCGTTTTCCCCGCTCCCCATTTCCCAAGGTTCGCCCCCCCCGCCCCTTCCCCGTGCTCTACCTGGACTGCGAGCGAGAATAGGATCGCGATCGAGAGCAAGAGCGAGAGCGTGATCTCGAGTAGGAGCCGGATGATTTTGAGGATCGTGAATGAGACCGGGAAGATGAACGACCTCGGCTTTTAGACCGACTGCGAGACCGAGAAGGCCCACTGCACAGATGAGCAGAGAAACTCCACTGAGATTCCATGGAGAAGCACCAGAAACACAAATCTACTCCTGATCAAATTCTAATTACACACAAGCACTACTTCTGCAGTCAAAGTGAAAGCTTAAGTGTGAAAAACTGTTTCACAGAATCACAAGGTGGTCTGGGTTGGAAGGGACCTTAAAAATCATCCAGTTCCAACCCTGGCCACCTTCCTCAAGACCAGGTTGCTCCAAGCCCCGTTCAACCTGGCCTTGGCCACTTCCAGGGATGGGGCAGCCACAGCTGCTCTGGGCAACTCGTGCTGGTTCCATTTTCTGCAGATTAGACAGAAATTCCAGCACACTGAAACTCAACTTTTCATCAGCATGTTGCTGAACAGGCTTTCCCTCCACATTTAGCCCAAGCACCTCCCAGATGAACAGCACACAGCAGAAGGTGGCACACAGGAACTCTCACCTATTTCTCTTCTCTTGACCTTTCCTCCGCCTTGCTCTCATTTTAGCTCTGAAGAATTCGTACAGTCCATTCTGCTCCCATCCTTCACTGCAACAAATCAACCACACAGAAGCCACACGTGTATATTCCACTTCAGTGGTGACCTTAAGGATTTTCACCAGATTTTGTACAGAACAAAAGGTCTGGGCAAAACTGTCTCACAAATCTCAGTATAAGATCAAAGAGCAAGTGCAACAACAAGAGCATTAGGAGAACCAAGACACAGACAAGAGAGGGAGGTACTTTGTGGTTTGAGACACCTTCTTAGAGCATTTTCCTTATCATTCACCTACAATTACCTGTTTCTAGGCCTGTCATGAGATGGTGGACTATAAAATGCCTCAACCGCAGCCAGGAGTCTCTCACTGGGGGGCATTGGAGGTGGGAGACGAATATCTTTAGGATCTAAAGGTTTATACTCATGATCTTCAAGCTGCCAGAAACAAAACAAATTACATTCATGTCATGTGCCAATTAAATACAGATTTAGCTGTGTAGAGACCTCAAATTTCAATACTGGATAAAAAAATGATCTGGAAATAAGGATTCTGCAGAGGACTCGATGCTTCCTCATGCTATCACTATTGTGAGTTCTCTGAGAAAAGCCTGCACTGCATAGGTTGCAGTGTTAAGTGGGTCACCAGGTAGATAAAATGCACATCTCATCCACCTTTGTGCTAATGTGTCTTGATGGAAGCCTGGCACAAACTGGTGTATGAGAATAGCACAAAGAGATGGAAGAGGTTTATTTGTTCATCTCAAATACAGAATACATATATGTAAATATTCCTGAAGATGCTGATACAGGTATGTTTCCTGTTCTCTATCCTTCTTTGTATGTGTAACAGTGATATTGTAAAACATTGTCACGAGAATTCTGATTAGGAAGAACTAGTGCAGTGGCCCCATCAGACTTCTGAGGTCTCCCCTGGCCATCTGGAAATCACTGGAGATTTCCATTTCCTACAAATAAAGGTCAGACTGTCAAGTATAAATTAGTCTTTCTGTGACTTCAACCAGCTTCTTCTAGCACACAACACATGAAAATCATCACCATTTTCACCACCTAGTCCCCTCAACTACTCCTGCCTTTATACCCTACACAATTGGTGGTGGGATGGAAGGATTTGAAATGATACACATACATGTTCAACTGTCCCTAATAACAACAACGGCTTTTGGATCTTTTAACCCCACCAGTCGGTCCCACAGCAAGCACTCACCTTGACAAGTGGAGCCATCAGCCCGGCGGGAAGATCAAAGTAGGGAACGTTTGGCACCAGACTGGGATCGTCGTGGTTCATGTGGGGAGGCCCCTGGCGCCGCATGTGAGGGGGTTGCCCGTTAAATCCGTGGGGGGGAGGCCCAAAATCGGGGTGCTGTGGCCCTCCCCAGGGAGGATGCTCGCTGATTCCAGGATGAGGCAATCTGTGACCAGGATGATGATGAGGAGGTCCAATTTCTGCAGAGTAAGAGGGTTAAAATGTTTTATTTAGCTATCGGAGATGTGCTTCAATTACTGCATTTATCCTAAA